TCTTCGCTTCGCTTTCTGGAGTTTCTTTTCGATATTATTTGCGGTATTTTTTTTTGTATGTATTCTTTTTTTCTTTAGCATTTTTAGTATACTAACATTCTTTTTTTTTCTTTTTTTCAGGTTTCTAGGCTTCTTCTATGTTTCTTTCAGCACTTATAGTGTGGGTCTTTAGGTATGTCTTCACTTCATTTTCTGAAGTTTCTTTTTGGTGTTTTTGTTTTTTTTTTTTGTATATTTTTTTCTTTACCATTTTTAGCATACTAACATTCTTTTTCTTTTTCTTTCAGGTTTCTAGGCTTCTTCCATATTTCTTTCAGCATTTATGGTGTGGATCTTTAGGTATGTCTTCACTTCGCTTTCTAAAGTTTCTTTTCGATATTCTTTGCATTTTTTTTTTTGTATTTTGTGTTTTAGAGTACTTATCTTTTTTTTCTTTTTAGGTTTCTAGGTTTCTCCTTGTTACTGTCGGCATTTAGGTAAATTTTTGCTTCACTTTCTAGAGTTTTTTTTTAATATTTTTTTTTGTATATATATTTTTTGTTTTCTTCAGCATTTTTAGCATACTAACGTTCTTTTTCTTTCTTTTTCAGGTTTCAAGGCTTCTTCCACGTTTCTTTTGCTTCGCTTCTTGGAGTTTTTTTAACGTTCTTTGCAGGGTTTTTGTATATATTCTTTTTTTTTTTTAGCATTTTTAGTATACTAACATTCTTTTTCTTTCTTTTTTAGGTTTCTAGGCTTTTTCCACATTTCTTTCGGCGCTTATGGCATGGGTCTTTAGATATATCTTTACTTCGCTTCCCAGAGTTTCTTTTCAGTGTTCTTGTTTTTTTTTTTGTATATATTTTTTTTTTCAGTGTTTTTAGTATACTAACATTCTTTTTCTTTCTTTTTCAGATTTCCAGACTTTTTCCACGCTTCTTTCGATATTTATGGTATGGATCTTTAGGTATATCTTCGCTTCGCTTTCTGAAGTTTCTTTTTGACATTTTTTGTATTTCTTTTTTTTCTTTTTTTTTGTATTTTGTTTTAGCATATTTACTTTTTTTTTTCTTTTTAGGTTTCTAGGTTTCTTCTCGTCGCTATTAGCATTTAGATAACTTTTTGCTTTACTTTCTGGAGTTTCTTTTCAATGTTTTTTTTTTTGATATATTTTTTGTTTTCTTCAGCATTTTTAGCATACTAATATTCTTTCACTTTTAGGTTTCTAGGCTTCTTTCACGTTTCTTTTGCTTCACTTCTTGGAGTTTTTTTTTGACATTCTTTGCAGGGTTTTTTTTTTGTATATATTCTTTTTTTTTTTTAGCATTTTTAGTATACTAATATTCTTTTTCTTTTTTTTCAGGTTTCTAGACTTCTTCCACATTTTTTTTAGCACTTATAGTATAG